CCCTAAATGCTTATCTTCAGACAGCTAATATATAACTCTCATTAAAAGAAAAGAGAGTGAGGAGGAATTAAGAAATCGATAATATATATATATATATATATATAATTACGATAAGATTACGAAATAATTTTTAAAAAATTTATATTTCAGAAGCCTGCGCTTTACATAAAACCAAATTAATTAGTAAAAAAATAAAGATCCATTTCCCAATTTCACAAAATCATTTATGATTTGAAACATACATTAAACGATTCTTTATAAATAAAAAAAAAATCAAATATGTGATTTAATTGGTATAAAGCGAAATAAAAATTCGAAGGCTTTGAATTTTGTACCTGAATTCCTTTGAGATAAAGCACTCAATTTATTTTCGAAAATGTGCAACTAAACTTTTAGAAATAGTTGATTCAACTTGTAATTAGTGAAATCGGAACTGCACAAAATATTTCTATTTTTAATGACTTTTGGGATTTTATTTGAACTGAATAAATACTCGATTTAATCCATAATGAGTACAATATTTATAAAAATACCAACAAGTCATTTTTTCTGTAATATTTCTCTAATCATTATATTATCTTTGACTATTACATTCAAAATATTCTATTCATATCCAGTTTTAATTTATTTTAACAATATACATTTTTCACGCAATTAGTAATTCTTTTCGATAAACAATAAATATAATAAATCATCTTATTGTATTGAAATAAGCTGTGCATATATAAATAATAAATATTGCAAATATTTTTATTAATACTTCGGATTTTAGATCCTTTATTGAAATTTAAATGTCAATATTTTTATATGTAAAGTTAAAAATATTTTTATACAGTTTACAAACTTATAAAATGAAAGTTAACAAATAACTTAGTTTTAAGTTTCTAGAAATAGTTACAGTTCAAATTAATATAATTTGATTAACTATTTATGTATTTAACCTCCTGCTATCAAAGTTGGAGGTCATGGTTTCAAATTAATATTATTTGATTAACAATTTATGTATTTAACCTCCTGCTATCAAAGCTTGAGGTCATGGTTTCAAATTAATATTATTTGATTAAAAATTTAACCTCCTGCTATTAAAACTTGAGGTTATGGTTTCAAATTAATATTTTTTTAACTAACAATTTATGCATTTAACCCCGAGACCGAAGCTTGTAATTATGACAGAAAATCAGATTTTTATTTCGAAGTATGTAGCTTAGAAGAATGTAACTCATAAATTAATAAAATATTTTAAAATACTCAAGTAAGTAAACTTAATCAACTTTAATTATTTTTAATTATTGCATGAAAAACTATGAATTATAATTTTTTATCATTTTTTGCACACTGTTGGATATTTTTTTAAAGTGCATTTCTTTACGTTTTGGACATGAAACAAATGCTACTAGATTCAGATAATAAGATATTTGTCATAAAACTGCCCAAAGAACTACTTGAATTGAATTTCTTACCTTACTTATAATTTTTCATTGTAGTGTAAAACTCCGACCAACAGTGGATAAAACAACGATATTTTTATATTGACAATCGCTTTGTTAAAATATTCCAATAGGAAAAGAATCATTAAATATCATTTTTTTAGAGATAAATTTCCAAATTATGTCTAAAATATTAGACACTGGAACTTAGGAGAATATATTAAACAGAATTCAAAACTATTGACAAATTGTAAACAAAACTATAATGAAGTATACTCGCCTTACACCGCAAAACATTTGTCATCGAGACAACAATAATTCAAGGGTCAAAAGAAAACTTTTGATAAAATCAATATTTTTAAAAATACTAATTTACCAAATCAATTCCCATATTTTACTTACCCGTATTACATTAAACTACTGGCCGGGATAGCCTAATCAGTAGGGCGCTGGGACCATGTCCGAGAGTTCGTGGACTCGAACCCAGCCGGCCGAAGACTCCCCGTGTAGTAAATGGTGACTGATGCACGTTAAATCTTTCGAGTAGCAAAGTCCAATCAATGGGGGTACTGGATTAGAGATCAATCGTTCACATATTCAGGTCAAAATTACGATCTGTGGACGAATGAATGGATGTATTAATGGGTCCGCTCTATGAACTGGTGTGAAGAATGGGTGTGACAGAAGTCTAATTCTTGGCCATAGATGGCACCACTGGAAAACAAGAACAGTAGCATTCCTCTGCCTTAAGAGGCATACGAAAGCAAGCACATTAAACTACTTCACAAAGATTGCGCAAGCAGTTTCTGCCGTTTTAGATCCCCTCCTTTGTCATTAAACCTCAGCAAGTAGCAAAGGAATTGCAGTAAGTTATTAATTTTTAAAATTTATATAATGCTTTCCTACGCATTGCTTTTTTCTTCCTCTTTCTTAACGAAGAATAAAACTACAAGAGCCCCTAAATGCTTATATAATGTTTGAACGACCTTTTATTTTGTGTTCGAAGTTGGAGAAAAACATTTTTAAAAGTTTGAGGTTAATCGAAGATTTAATTATTTAACCCATCAGTTAAGATATTAATGAATTCTTTTATTTATAATTTATAACCATCGTTGAGCAAATGCTGACAGAATTTTCAGTTTACGGCTACCAATGTTCAACTCCATATTCTTGTAATTTTGCACCCAATTCAGAAGACAAAGAAACTCCTGGTATTGGGAGAAATTTGAATTGATCTAATGATCAGATCCTCAAGTATTGGAAGAAATTTGCCTTCGTGGAGTCCTTTTTGATGGAGCTAACCCGCATTTGCGTTAGATGAAGAGGAAAATCACGAAAACCTCCCATGGTTAGCCTGACAGCAAGGGGACTCTAACCCATGATCCATCAACCACTGAGGATATTTTACGTCAGGACTGTGGTCGGTGCGAGCCGGATGCAGAATTCGAATCAATCATTCGAACCCGGTTCACCTCATTGAGAGGTGAGTGCTCTATTCCCTGAGCTACCACGGCTCTCTTTTATTAATAGTTTTTTGAGATAGAACTTATACCTTCACATGCATTTCTAAATACCCATTGAAGAAATAAACTGATTTTATTGAATTATTGCCCCCTAGTGTTCAATTTTCAAAACCACCTCTGAATGCTACAATTAGTACTGAAAAAGTAATATGATTATGTTGTAAAATGATTTAACTGATTACATGTGACTTCTAAAATACAGCAATATTTTGACTTGTAAAATGTAAAAATATTTTCTTAGATGAATGTGGAACAATATCTTGCATAGATCAACCATGCAAGAATGATGCAATATGTGTGCCAATCAGTGACACAGACTTCGAGTGTCTTTGCCTCCCTGGATATAGCGGTAAGCTTGCAATGTTGCATATTTTTTATTTATTACTTTTGTAGTTCTCTCTCATTTTATTTAAATTCAATGACGAATAATCATAAGAAATCTCAGAAATTTTTGTGAAAATTACAGCTGAGTAATTAAAGTCGTTTATATTGCAAAACATGCCTGCAAAAAATTTCTCTTTTATTTATGGCTGTCGCTTGGATTGTCTACTCCTTAATTAAGATAGCATTTTTAAAACGAAAAACTTTTATTGAATTCAAAGAGATAAAGTACAGTATATTTTGCATAAGTAGGGAAGGAACATGACGTAGACAAGTGTCAAGAAAAGAACATGACATAGGCCTTAAGACACTTTTCTCAGCTTAATTTTTTGCTTTAACAGCAGAATTTTTAGCTTTAAGTTTACGATTCAATGATTATCTTTAACTAAAAAAATAATTTCTTCTACAGTATACTTTTTTCTAGAGCAAAAAAATTTAAAATAAAAATTGGTCAGCCATTTGTAATAAGTATTTAAAACTGATCCGTGCTACAGTACCTTGATGAACTTCGGAGAAATGTTTCTTAAACTAATCTAATCCAGCAACCATTTATTTTTTAAGACACTATATTAAGAAAGTACATGTTGCGTAATAATTCCAAAAAGAATAAAAGTTATCGGTTTGAACCTGATTCCATCAACTGGGATTACTTTGAAGAGTTCTAATTAACAATTTTGCGTACTTCTCTGTCTGAGAAATAATTTCTAGACTTAGTATTGGGCTTAAAGAATTCATATATGATGTTTAAATACCAGATGTCCCGAAAATGGTGAATGGATTTTAAAAATCAATTTTTAAAAAAAAGAGCGAAACGTGATTGAAAATTGAATGGTTGAGGGCAATCTGCTTGGGAAACTAGGTAATTTCAACAGACCTAATTCTAATTGCACATTTAGTAAATTTTCTGCTACTAGGTGGAGCTGCTGTAATGCGAGAGCTACAGATAAATTGAATCCGAAAGATCCCAAGTCAGTATTTTGCCACGCATATTGTGAGCACTTGTGAGAGATTTTGATAATGGTAATCACGGGGCAGCGATGGCTCAGGGGATAGAGCGTTCGCCTTCCAATGAGGTGAATCGGGTTCGAATCCCAGAGATGGTTTATAGATACGAATTCCGCATCCGGTTTGTACCGACCACAGTGCTAACGTGAAACATCCTCAGTGTTAAACTGATCATGGGTTAGAGTCCCCTTGACGTCAGGATAACCGCGGGATGCTCCAGTGGTTTTTCTCTCCACGTAACACAAATGCGGGTTAGTTCCATCAAAAAAGTCCTACACGAAGGCAAAATTTCTCCCAATACTTGATCCAGGAGTTATCTTGTCTTCTGGATTAGAGTCAAAATTACAAGGCTACGTAGTTGATCCTAAGCAGTCGTAAATCCAAAAATTGGGTCGGTTGTTCAACGACGTTTATAAAATATAAAATAAAATGGTAATCACAAAGGACCGGGACAGTCTGGTCGGTAGGACGTTGGACTAGTGTTCGAGAGGACGGGAGTTCGAATCCAGACAGCCGAAGAATCCCCGTGTACCAAATGGGGACTGGTGCACGTTAAATCTGTCGGGGTCACAAATCAATACCTCTTAGGATACTGATCCAGGAGTGCCCTTGTCTTCTGGATTGGAATCAAAATTACAAGGCTACGAAGTTGAACATTGGTATCTGTAAACTCAAATTTGGGTCGACTGTTCGTCGTTCACACAGCGTATTCACGTTCAAACAATATATTAATCGTTTTGGAGTATCACCAGCTGAAACACAACTAAAGCTCTATTCCCAAAGAAATTTAACATGAGAAAAGAACTTGCAGGGCCACCTATTGTCAGAAAGTTTAACTAAATGTGAAATTTGGTGATATGATTACCTAGTTTCTCAAGCATAATGCCCTTCAACCATATCGATAATCCCTCCACACACACGTACGCACGTCTTTCGAAAGTATTAATGCGTACGGTTTTTTTTATTTATTTTAAGTCTAGCAAAAATGAAAAATAAAAATTCTCCATTTATTCCACTTGAAAAACATTATTTTGAAAAGCATAGTTTTTACAACTATTAACAAAATTTTCAATTAAAATTATTATTTATTTATTCATAATTTATTTAATTAATATTAAAAGTAAATATTTATAACAAACAAAAAAAGGAAGGTAGCGCAATTATGACAAAATAAGAAAGTTGTTCTTCACTAAATTTTAAATCACGAAGACACGTTTTATGCTCAATTATTAGCTGCTTGAGACTTCCTATTCTTCATTTTATAATTCTTTTCTTTTCAATGTCAAGGCATTTCTCGGCACAAAAATAAAAAGCTCTAAGCAAGAATGAACTTGAGACAGTTCATTGGGTGGTTTTCAAAGGTGATATTTTTACATTAAACTGTTCTTTAATATTGCTTCCAGACAGGTACTATACAAGTTCCAGTGAATAACAGCTCACCAAATAAAAATAATCAATTTTCCTACATGGAAGTCTTATTGTTCTCAGCTATATCATTCTTGAAAATGAATCATCATTTTACCTTCACATATATTTTTTAATAATTAATTATGCGTGTAATTTCAATGCAGGTAGCACATGCGAGATCCTTCCAAGTGAGTGCATAAATGGTAATGGCCCATGTTCTGATGGGTCAAACTGTGTTATTCATGAAGAACATGGATTTGTATGTAAGTGCCCTTTTGGACGGTACGGAGATCTATGTGAAAAAAGTAAGTTATCCACTATCAGCTCATTCAATACAATATCCTGCAACCACACATTGCAGCATTCGATTACATCTAACTTAAGGAATATTTTACTTAATTTTAATAATTTACTATGCCAGCTTATAACTTTTGTGTACATTACACGAAAAGTTTTTTATCTCCCATAATAAGTCAATGGAAAATGAAAGTAAGAAACAAAACTGAAAAAATTGAAGAGAGAGAGAATAAAAATAAACATGAAAAAGCAGATTAAGAAAACACTGTGGCTGATAGGAGAAAATCCAAAAATCCAGGTAAAATGCATTTCCATCCGTTATGGAGGGTTGGAGAGGAACCAGAGACATGTTACGGAAGATATAGCCCTGCAACCGATATATATATATACTAGTTTCATACTTTTATATGCTATTTATTGCTTTCTGTTTTACGATATTAATTGTCTATGAAGTAATCTGAAAATGCAAATTTTATAATGGATATAAGAAGCTCTGATACTCTGTTGCGAATATATGATGTTTTAAGGCGAGGCCATGTCACTCAGACCGATTAAGAGTCTGAAATTTAAAAGGAAAAATCGATTGATACGAAGTCAAATAGTATTCACAAATCTTGTCCTGATTTTGAGTATTTTCATGAAATGCGAACAATTGGTTTCTTTTATGGCATAATGAAGGATAATAGATATAACTAAAGGAGTTTTTGATATTCCAACCTTAAAGAGGTTTAAATGGGAGTTAAAGAGTTTCTTAAAAACCGCTGATTTTGTTCCTTTTTTTAGGTTGTCTTAATAATTTAAGTAACGTTAAATAATTATTACACGCTTTATACAGATTCATTTTGTGAGATTGTCTTAAGATTCAGGATCATTATGTATTCATTTAGTATTTTGTATTCATTTTGTATTTATTTTATTTTGTGTTTTCATTTTATATCATTCATCATGCTTGTATCATTCATTCATTATTTTAAGTCATGGTTTGAAATGTGCGTGAGGAAGTAGTACTGCACGTAATCGAGCTTTGGGATAAATTTTCTATCTTAGAAGATTATTAGAGTCATTTGTTTACTTTTCTAACGACAAAGATGGAAATAATTTTAATAATTCTGCTGCCTCTTATGTTGAAATCTCCCGATCTTATACGCACGGTGATTCATACGTTTTAATGGCTGCCAGAGAGATTTTAAATTATTACTAAAATTCAATACATAAATAACTTTGGCAATATCTCCGACATCAAAAAATTATTAAAAATGAGAAAAAAAAACTACCGCTTGAATAAAGCCGCGGGCAACAATTAGTTCTTTAGGTAATCTTTTTTTGTTATTAAATTAGTTAGCTATTTGACAAGTAATTGGCAATATAATTTTTTTTCTTATTTCACTGCATTTGTTGGTAGTAAATGAAAAATATTTGTGATGCAGTGTTTGAAGAAACACTTTGCGGTATTTAGGGGGAAAAATATCAAATATCAAATTTAGATGCTTAGATAAAAGATAACACCTCCAAGAAAAGAAAGGACCTCCGCACGGATCAATTTAGTAGTCTGAAGTAACGAACATACAGCACGCAGTGGTGGCAATTAAGAAAGGTGTCGCAACGTCTGTACTACAAAACTGCGCAGTGGAGAAAAATACGAGAGATGACTCAATGTTCAGACTCTCGGATTGGACTTCTCGTTTATGGTAATACGTGCGTAGACTTTCTTTTTCTTGTAGGTTTTGGAAAAGTTTTCATGTTGTTGCTAGGCTACTGAGAAGATTTTAATAAAATTAATTTTTTTTTCCACGTCAGGACCTGATTTTTATCTACGTTTGCTAAACAATGGATTTGTCAGATTAAGACTTCTTCTAAAACGTTCTAGAGTGTTCATTTGTAAGTTTTAACTCTCTTTTTTTCAGCAACTCAAGATTCCGGGGATATTTTTGTGCCTGATTTTAAAGTTGACTCTTACATGGAATTCCCCACTCTCGCAAATGTCCGCCAAGCATTCAACATCGAAGTTTGGTTTCTAACTCGATCGCTTCATGGAACTATTCTGTATAATGGACAGCATTCATCTGGGAAAGGAGACTTTATATCTATTGTTATTTCAGAAGGATATGTTCTTTTTCGATTTGATTTGGGAAGCTCAGTACAATCAGTTTCGTAAGTAACACTCCATTTCATAAACAAAAATTCGATGTATCACTTTTTGATTTCTAATTCATTACTTTCCGAACATTGTAAACGTAAATAATTCAACGTGTGCAAGCAACGACTCGGAAAGTGAAATTTACAATAATTTTCTGTAGTAAAACGCATATTTCTCTGTCTAGTTTGGACACTTCCCAGTAAGTGTAACAAACTTCATTTTCAAACCACTTTAGCAGGTTTATTTTCTTAGTGTTTATTTTTTTACATATAAAATCAAAAACGTAATAAAAACTTTTAAAATATAAAACACTGAAAATACAGATTTTTTTTCACATCATCAAAACATATTTATTAAAATATTCAAATTTTCTAATATTTTGAAGGGAAATTTAAAAATTTCTGAAACAAATTGAAATAGCTGTAGAAATATATAAATCGAAAATATATCGAATTGCTGTTCATGTTTCCAAAACATTTATTAAATTATTTATTTCTGATATTTTAAAGGGAAATTTTAAAATAAAATCAAAATAGCCTTTCAAAAATATAGAATCAAACAATATTGAATAACTGTTCATTTCTTCAAAACATATCTGTTAAATTACTTAAATTTTCTGATATTTTGATAGTAAATTTAAAACTAAATTTTAACATAAAATCGAAATAGCTGTAAAAAATATAGAGTTTAAAAAATATCTAACAGTTGTTCATGTCTTCAAAACAGATCTATTAAATTATTTAAGTTTTTTAACATTTTGAAGGAGAATTTAAAATTGAATTTTAACACAAAAACGATAAAACTGCAAAACAAAGCAATAAGATAATGGTTTAAGATTTTAAAAAAAATTACTTTAATAGTCATTTTTTTTTCTTTTGTAAATTTTATTAATAAGTCTTTGCTAAAAAACATATAACATAATCTGGAAGGAATGATTCCATTATAAAAAAAATTTGGGCCCTCTAGCATTTTTTTTTGTTGCTCTCTTTAAAATTTCATGTTTGAATAGGTAGTTTAAGAAAAAACAGTGAAATGTGCTTAAAAATCAGAAATTTAATCGTTATTTTTTTTTATAATAAGCACAAAGGTTTTTCCATTGCAAAAAGAGAAAAAATTAACAAATAATTGCCTTTTGATAATTAACTGAACTTTAGGATCTTTCAGATGGCAGGATATTTTTATAATATTAAAAAAAAATTGATTTCTAAGAATTGAAACTCTACAAAATGAGATTTTACATAAATAAGTCGCATAAGTAAAATTAGCACAAAAAGTTCACATTTGCCTACTTCGAAAAAATCAGTAAATGTTTATTTTATTAATATTTTTAAAGGCATAAAAATGTTATTCAAAATATATCCCCCATAATTAAACTTTTCGATTAACTAAGCTACTCACCTGATGCGTTAATTTTAGTAAAAACTAATTATTTATAAAATTTTTCCATTGCTTCGAGAGAAAAATAAAAGTTGATATACTGAAATTTTCCCACTCATTAATTTTACATTTTTGTATAAAATAAGCCTCTTATCATTATTACTATTGTTTTATGTGTATCCTTATTATTATTTTTGCAAAAATCAGAAATATTTCTTTCAATATTGAAGTATTTAACTTTTTATGTAATTTCATGCTTTTAATCAGAGGCGTTGTTAGCATTAGGTTGGTACAATCTAACAGATTATCTTTACAAATTTAGTTTCGTGTATTAAAAAATAAATTAAACTAACTATTATTTGCATTTAAATCTCTTGCCTCATTTTAGAACATTATATTAGCTTTCGTATTATTTCCTATAATTGTTATATCTCAAATATAGAAACTCTTATTTATTTATTTTGGAACACTGATAACGATATTCTCTTTTTTTTTCTCATCGAGATTTAATAGAGTTAGAGGTTTTTATAATTTTTATGCTAATATAATACGTGGCTTTTTAAGATTATTTTTCTCTTCGCGCGGATAATCTGCTGTGTGTAAAACGACGGACCACTCTGAATAACTTTTGATCTAATGATCGGATTTTCATGTTCTAAGACTCAATCTAAATGGTACAAGGGGGTGATCTCAAAAATGCTTATTAATTAGTGCAAGCGATATTTTAAGCAACGAAATCAGACACAAAAATGTACTTACTCTGAATGAGCATAAGTCTTTTTATGATGGATTCCGAACTTTGATCCCCGAAAATATGGGGGTAGCCCCAATCTTGGAAATATGGTCTCCATAGTTTAGTCAGGAAACCAATCCAAAGTTGAATCCTGAATGCTAATTTCATTTTTTGAGTATCTCGATATAACTAGAGAACTTTAAAAACGAAATGAAGAAAAAAATTTACAAACTATAACAAAATTCGTTTATCCAAAAATAATTCCATGCAAAAAGTAGCTTTTAGTAAATATTTATTATTTTATTTAATAATAGTCGAATAAATTTTGAGTTGCAAGGCACACAGTTTTTTACATAATTTTCAAGAATGTGATTTTTACATAACAGAATACGAAATTTGAGCAAAATCGGTCAAATAATTCCTGAGAAATCGAATTTAAAAAATACGATGTTTTTAAAATTTGATTTCTTGGGAACTGTTTGACCTATTTCGCTCAAATTTTGTATTTTGCCGTTTAAAATTGCATTCTTTAAAATGATATAAAAATGTGTACCTTGCAATTAAAAGTGTTTTCATTATTATTAAATATATAGTAAAAAATAAAAAAAGTAATAAATATTTACTAAAAGTTATATTTTGCATGGAATTATAATTTGGATAAACGAGATTTTATAATTTAGTTAAGCATTTTTTGAATTCACCTAAAGGTACTGGAGATATGAAGAAATATGCAAATCGTAAAATTAACAACATTAGGGGGTCAAAACTAGGGATTGCTCTTCTGACTAAACTAAGGAGATCATATGTCTCATGCTGTGACTACCAAAATATTCTAAATTGTGTTATATTTTGGGGATTAGAAAAACGAATCCATCGAAAAGAAAGGCAAGTTAATTCAGATAAAGTACGTCTTTGTGTCTGATTTCGTAACTTAAAATATCTGAAGTCATACTCTCGAACCTTTAAGATTGAATAACGTGACGATCAGACCAAAAGTTATTCAAGGTGGTGTGTTTCTTATTTTGCGACTGTGGATGAGGAGGAAATTCCTCTTCACTCCGAATTGGAGCACAGGGCTTCTATCATAGCTTTACATCGCACACTATTTGTGGCCAAATATTTTGCCTCTCACCATATTTTTCTTATTGTTTTCGTAATTCGTTTACAATCGTCCTGCTCCAAGCATTTTTTAGGTCTTCCTCTTTTTCCATTGCCCTAAGGGTTTCAATCAAAAACTTGTTTTATATTAACGAACTGCGCGTTCAGTTTATTTTAAAGCTAACTTTGCCCTCAAACCTTTTTTCAAAAAAATAAAAAAATAAAAGAAAAACATTTCCGATATAAATGTGAAAAACGCTCTCTTAAAGTAATTTTAAAAGATTTTCGACACAGAATGAATGTTTCCTGAAAAAACTATGCAAAATACCAACAAAATTTAAAAATCCTTGAAAATAAAAGTTCTTAATCAAAAACTGTTAACAATGCTGCAAAAAAGAAACACATTTTGTGTGGAAAATATTAATATGAAATTAATGATACACATTTTTAAATGCTAACTTGCTTTATATTTTCTTATATTATCACTTCCTTTTTTGACAAAAGACAACGGTTTGTTTTCACGGAAAAGCCAAAATTAATATATTATTAATTTCTCCGCATTTAAAAAAATAAAAATTTCAAGAGGTAGAAAAATAAAAGGAAAAAAGGATTGCTCCGTATCCTCAGAATTATTGGGACAAACTTTAAGGGGATGTAGGGGAACATCACAAATATTCAGAATTGTACAGTAAACCATGGTCGTCGACGTCTTTATTCGCCACTAGGTGGTGTTGTACAAAAGAGCATTGGAGGAAACAGACCTGCATTGTATTTATTTCATATACATGTTTGGAGCGCTAATATTTTCAAATATGAACCGTTCATAATATAAACAGATTCCAAGAATAAATTCTTAAAACGGGTGCGTAAAAAGTGAGATATTAAGTCGTAGATCTAAGACTAAGATTTATTGTTGGCTGAATATTTTGTTATTTTTTTGTCCTCAGAAAGTGCAATCAGGAAAACATAGTTTATTTTTACTGTTTCCTCCCTGGCGTGACAGTACCGGGTGGGCTCTGGCCTCTCATTTTCACTTACAGCCATGATACCCCCAAAATGTTAATTTTATGATTTTTGTTTTCAGAAGTAAAGAACCTGTTTCTTTGAATGAATGGCATTCAGTGAAAATTAACCGTTTATGGAAAAATGGTTCTTTACAAGTGGATGGTGGAGATGTATTGTTTGCGGAATCAAGTGTAAGAAAACGATAACTTTTACAGTTTAATAATTATTTTTAATAACACTATTAAAAAAACATTTGAAACTATGCCACTAAAAAAAAAATTTTAAAAATTTTTTGGTCAAATGAGAAAAGTTTCTCTTCGGTATTAATATTGTGTCATGAAATACATCAACACTATTTTATTTTATTTTATAACCGTCGTTGAACAGTCGACCCAATTCTTTGAGTTTACGACTACCAATGTTCAACTCCGTAGCCTTGCAATTTTGAACCCAATCCAGATAACGAGGGAATTCCTGGATCAAGTATTGGAAGAAATTTGCCTTCGTGGAGGATTTTTTGATGGAACTAACACGTATTTGCTTCACATGGGGAGGAACACCTCCCACGCTTAGCCAAGCGGCAATCCATAATCTGTCTACCACTGAGGATAATTTACGTCAGCACTGTGGTCGGTGCAAGCCGAGTGTGGAATTCGCATCGACCAGCCATCACTGAAATTCGAACCCAGTTCACCTCATTGGAAGGCAAACGCTGCATCCCCTGAGCCACCACTACTCACGTTAACACTAAAGACTTTGTGAAAAAGAAAAAAGAATGTGCTAATAAACTAGTGTTTTATATTTAATTGTATTTAATTATTATTAATAACGTCATACCACTTATATAATTTCCAAAGATTTTTATCCTTATCGAATATCAAAATTAACTATTGCCAATAATTTTCAAGAAATATTTGGTTAAAAATTATTTCAATTGCATATTATCTCAATTTAAAGATATTATCTCTCAATATTTTAAAAACGAAATGGCCACCGACGCTGTTAGGTGTTCAAATTAACGTTACATTTTATTTTGCTACGCAAAAATTATTAGGCTTAGAAACTGGAAATTGCAAAGGTTTGTTGAGAAATGGAATAAAACGTACAATGGAGTACAAGGAGTACGAACAAGGAGTAACCGTACAATGGAATAAGAACATTAACATTCGATAATTAGTTAGAGAACTATGAACTGTTAAACCTTTTGTAAAAAAAGTTTTATTTTCTAATTCCATCTTGTTTGAAAGATATATTTCAGTTTTAAGTATGCGATTTTTTTCTTTCTTTTTTTTTCTTTCGCTTTGAGTAATAATTATTTATATGAACGGAGCAAGTTAAGGCGGAGCCTTCTAGTAATATTAAAAAAAAGTTTCAAAAACTATGTTTTTCAATTGGATTTAAAACGAGAAAATTATTTTATTTTTGTCACGCCTAAAACGAAATCTCTTTTGCATGTCACGTTCAAAAGACACGAGCGGAAATTACGAGGTAATGCACCGAATAATGCAGTTTTTAAATTTAAAGAATGGTGAAATAAAAATATTATCTCTTTCTAAAAACACTTGAAAAACATATTTAAAAAAATAATAATAATTTTATTTTATTATTTTCATCATTTCAGTTTTGTATCTTGCCGGTGAGCTTTTCATTCTGAACACAGCTCAAAATGCGTATTTAAGAAAATATAAAAAGTGAAATAGCGCAACTCAAAATGCGTGTTTAAAAAGTCAATACAGCTCGAAATGCGTGTTTAAGAAAATATAAAAAGCAAAATAGCGTAGCTCAAAATGCGTGTTTAAGAAAATGTACGCAGCTCAAAATGCATTTTTAAAAAATAGACGCAGCTTTAAATGCGTGTTTTAGAAAATAGTTACAACTCAAAATGCTCAACTCACGTGTTTTTAAAAAAAAGTACGCAACTCAAAATACGTGCTTAAGAAAATGGACGCAGCTCAAAACGCGTGCTTAACAAGTTGGACATAGATCAAAACGCGTGTTAAAGAAAATGGACCGTTAAGATTTCAGTGATCTAACTAGTCGGAAAGTCGTCAAAATTTTGCTTGAGCTTTTTCACCTTCTCACACATGAAATATAGTTCCTAAAATCGTAATAAAGAATAATTTTTAATTCTTGAATTAAAATGATATTAAGAAATGTTACTACTAGATAAAAGCCTAAAAACTAAAAAAATCGAGAATGAAATATCATTATATTTCTATATTTTCAAGAGTAAGTTTATTTAAAGCACTTATGACTTCCACAGAATATTATTTTAAATACTTCCTTCGCTATTTATATTTAATAACATATAGTGGAAGACAGATAGTAAAAAAGAAACTGTTTAAGTCGAGTTAGCATTTCACGATTTTTACGTTTTAGGCATCTCTAACAGAATTGAATTTAGAGAGCAATTTGTTTGTTGGCGGTGTGCCCAATCTGCAGACAGTGAATCATGACTCTGCAGTAAAAGTTGGTCTTGATGGAGCAATTCAGAGGATTACAGTAAATGGAGACATATGGGACAAGCTGATGTCCCGTGCCTTGTGGTCCCACCGAGTCCATCGTTACACGGGAGCACCCTGTGATAATTCGTCCCAGTGCCTTAACGATGGTATTTGTGTCCCCACTTTGAATGTGCCTGTGTGTAAATGCCCTATACATTTTTGGGGACAGCGCTGTGAAAAAGGTGAGAAATAACTTATTCAGAGAGAAAAGAAAATACTACCAAAAAATCTTCATAATGTATACATGAATTTTTTTTACTCCGCAGAAATTTCTAAAGAAGATTTAGAGCGGCCTGTTGCGTTTGATGGTCATAAATTTTTAAGTTTCTCTAATAAAATTGTAACTGAGTAAGTATAATTTTTGAGGTTTTTATTTTTACTCTATTGCAGGCTTTAAAAATCAGAAATATTTAAATGATAAAATATGTTTTGTAACTTCATGCTACATTTTGAAGGGTGATGTCAGATTTAGAGTATGAGCAGAATGTTTCGTGGATATAAATAGATTATTGGGTGAGAAATCAGAAAATTAATAAAAGATAGTTTAAAGGAAGAAAATTATGAACATTTTTTAAAATTTAATTAAGAACAAATTAACCGTGAAATCCAAAATACGCCAATGTTGGCGTTTTCGTAGGTGAAAATAATTCAAGTATGTGAATTCGCGAGAGTCTGTTGTAAGCTTGTTTCATTATAAATATTTAGATTCATTGTATATATATAAGCTAATTGCTATACGTTAATTGCTATAATGTTTATGATAATATCTTAAATTGTATATGAAAGCTCGATTTGTTGTTAACCAGAAAAAAAGTATTTTTTCACACAATTTATTGGATTTTTCAATATCATATTCGAAATAGGTGTTACCCACAGTGGTTTACAGTGCAGAGTGAGATAAAGGTAGTATGTTACTTTCAACAAAAGATTTAAAAATATATTTCCCCATTTAACTTACCAATAAAATATAAAAATAGAGCAGATTAGTGGATACAGATAATTTTTTATGGCGTGTTCGTACTGATGTTCAGAACCGATCTGATTGGTTGGTTGCCTTGAATTTGCTCTAGGTGGATATGTGCAAGGCAATAGCTATATTGAACTAAATAACTCATAATTTTATTATTTAAAAGTCGTAATTTAAATATAGCGTTTGTATTCAATGATATTTGTAGAATTTATCAACATTTATGGAATAAAATTTATTATTTTAATTAAATGTTGGATGAGTTGGTTGACCGGAAACTTTCAGAGTATTTACACTAAAGTTAAGAATTAATTTGTTTTGTTGGTTGCCAGGGATTTGTCCGAATTGAATTTACACATGACAACAATTATTGCAACATTTTGCTTTGTCAATATTAATACATTAGTGTAAAGCACCTTTAGAGGACATAGCCGTGGGAGTTGAGAAATAGGATGTAGCTTTTCGTGGCTAATTTAATTAATTAAATAATTAATCTTTTCAGCAAAGCACAACCTAACATCGAAATGTACGTACATGAAGGTACATATAGGAAAATATATTGTCACTATCGAAATAATACATTGAGGGGTACGCAAAAAATTAAAACAGTCTGACATCGAATTATTTTAAAATCTAACTCACTTTATAAAATTTCTCATGAGAAACATCATACATATTTTTAGCCAAATAAATTAGATGCACCAGTTAGATTACGAATAGAACATGCCATAAAAACTAAGTTAATCTTCATATATGTTATGGATAAACGTTTTATTGCCCCGCAGTGGAATAACCGTAAACACAGGGTTCCCAGTAGAACACCGAATTCAAGCATCAGTGCTGCGGTCATTGTGCGGGTGGGTGACCACTTTGATCAAGCTACGACGGGACCGAGGATGTGTGGCATCGGTCCTTGTTAAAATGTTGAGAGCAGGTCATCAGGCTATCAAAGCATGGGGAGGCATTCCCCCCGCAAAGGATTAAAATTGTGATGGCACGTTTTCGGATCATCCTCAGGGATGTTTCCCAGATCGTCGCCAATAGCCTATTGCGCAGCTCTAGTGCGACGTAAATAAACAACTACAACTATAAAAGCTTTTCAAGAAGGAATTAATCCTAACTTTAATATGGTGTAGATTCGTAAAAGATAGTAAAACGTGTTGCTTTTTAATTTGCTGTACTCTTAGTTAGATAATAAAATATTTAGAATAGAATTGTCTTTATATTATACCTTTGCTTTTTATTTCAGAATGGAAGGTCAACGAGAAACAAACATAGAAATAACTTTCCGAACGGGACATGAGAGTGGTCTTTTAATTTGGACTAATAAAGGAGCGACCATCCGAGGGGACTACCTTGCTTTAGCTATATCAAAGGGTCATCTTCAGTTGAGTTTTAATCTTGGGAAGCAAACACAACCCTTCACCATAACAAGTACTCACAGAATCGACGATTTAGAATGGCATACAGCCCTGATCGAAAGGTACTGGGTATTTTCTTTAGGTGATTCTACCACGTAGAATTATTACAGAGACCGTTATTTTTTGTTTTAAAATGCTTTTGACCCCTTCAAGACCGTGACTACGCGTATAGTTTGTCTACGGTAAGAGCTCCCACCACCACAAAATCTGAGACCGTCTGCTGTTATGGAAACAAGAATCGAGCATTTCAGGGAGGGTAGCTTCTCTTCACTCTAGGGCAAACACAATAAATCGAAGAAAAAAAGATTTCCCTTCTTTCGCCTATTCGAGCCAAAACTTGTCCTAAACAATAACCCCACACCACTACTTGAAATTGTTATACCTCATTACCATAGTCAACGCCACGGGACCAGATGAATGGCAAGGGGAGTTCTTACTTTAGACAAACTATACTTGATAAAGCGATTCTCCTTTCACGGTCCACGAGTAAAACGAGTCTTACTGACTCTAGCGGCAATAGATCATACGGACACGATCTTAATACGTATGATCTCAACGGTACTCTCGAATGCGTACTCTTCAGTACGTATAAACTTGGAGCATGTGTACCTAGAGAAGTATTTCTTTCTTCTTCCACACTTCCTGTAGGGAATAAAAAAAGACTGCAACTAAAATTTTACTCGTGATTGTACTATATAATTTTCACTACTCATATTATACAAATACACTTTGCAAAAGTTTATTTCATTTCATTTTAGCTATTTTATTTCCCTATATCATTGTACTTTTATTGTACTCTGTACACGAAATTTTTTAAAAGAGATTGCAAAATTTCGAATTTTCATCACGAAAATGTTATGCAATTGAATACGTTAAATGTTTGTTTGTTTGTTTTTTTTTTCAAAATGTTTTAATCATCTTAATAATCAGTTTATAAAAATATAATGAGAAATTATGAAATACATTTAAATATAAAAGATGTATCCAATGTCTGTCTCATATTTTAAAAAAAGAAACTTATTGAGTATTTCTTTTATATAAACCCTTATTTAAAATGAAAAAATTATTAAACATTTATATTCGTCGTTGAACAGCTGACCCAATTTTGGGCTTACGACTACTAATGTTCAACTCCGTAGCCTTGTAATCTTGAACCAATTCAGAAGACTAGGAAACTCCTGAACCAATACCCTCAGAGGTGTGATTTGTTATGGGAACATGAAGGACTTTGCGACCCGACAGATTTAACGTGCATCAGTTATCATTTACTGCACGGGAAGTTTTCGGCCGACGGGGATCGAACCCACTGCCACTTGGACATGGGCCTAGTATCCTGGCTATCCTGGCCTTTATTAAACATTTAGACTTTTTTTATTTTAGGCTCCGATTGCTTGGCTTGTCGTCTGTTGGAACCCTGTTCAAGAGGTCGTGAGTTCAAATCCCGATGACTCTCCTGGTATACAAAGGTGACTGGTGTACGCTAAATCTGTCGTGGTCATAAAGGCCTCCAAGCTCCCATAACAAACCAATACCTCTGGGGGTACATAATTTTAGATTGATCGATCTCTGGTTCAGGTCAAAATTACAATCCGCGGATGGCTGAAAGTTGTGCGAGTAAGTCCTCCCTGTAAAAGAGGCTGTGAAATACGTGTGTGGCAAAATCATATTCCGGTCCATGGATGGCACCATTGAAAAACAAGAAGAGCACATCTCTGCCTGAATTCGCTTGATTCTACCAAAGCAAGGCTCGCTGGTATTGCCAAATGACATTTATGACAACTATTTTTCTTGAAAGTTTTTTACCTATCTGTGTGTTAATCTTTTTTCATACAATTACTAAATATTTTATGTTATATTAATCAGTGAATATTAAAAAACATAATTTCTGGTATCCGTTATTTCTTTGTCTAGAAATATGAGACGTGGTACAATGACGATTGACGATAATGCACCCATCAGCAACACTTCAGAACCTGGAGCCACAGAACTCAACACCGATGGCGCATATTGGATAGGTGAGTATCACTCAACAATGAAAAAAGTTCTTTTCAGAGAAAGAGATAAGAAGCTGAAACCTGTGAGTTTGTTAAGAGTTTATCACATTAGGAAAATAACACTTATTCTCTCGCATTGCATCCCGCATTGGACTGATAGTAAAGACACGGTTCCCAGTAGAACACCGAAGTCAAGCATCACTAGCTGCTGTCAGTAAGCGGGTGATTGACCACTTTGATCAGTCAGCGTAGGCCCCGAGGGTGTGCGGTATCGGTCCTCGTTAAACTGTTCTACCGTAAAGTTCTCGATTTCGCACGTAGTTCACTGGTCTACCAAAGCACGGGAGCCATTCCCTCTGCGTATTTACCTACCTATACCGTACCGTGCCTCAACTTTTGAAAAAAATATTTTTACGTTCAGAAGCAATAACGCTTTGGTCACTTTGAACAACATTAAGAAACCAATATATATGAATTCG